TGAACTGCTTTTATGTGATGATTAATCCTTTCAATTTATCAACAGAGACTCGGGTTAGTGAGAAAAATCTCACTGATGATTAATGAAGCTGCTGCTGACACATCATTTAGTCTCTCCACGACGCCCTATTTAAGTATTGATTTAATAACCGCCTAAAACATAAGAGAAGAATAATGAGGATTCGGTGCATTATTAATGATTTCTACTTATTCAAAAAACTGCACAAAACTGCATATCTGTGTCTCTAAAATCTGACTTCACATGTATGTGATGATTGATATTATAGGAATTCAATTTTAAAAACCTAAGTTCTAAATTTAGTCCTGTAATTAATAAAATTCAGGATATTTCATGGTAATTTTGTAGTATTTTCACAAGTTATTCAAAAATCCTTTAACTAAACAGATAGTGTATAATTTCTAAAATCTCCTTGATTAAATATTTATCCCTGATTTTATTTTCTAATTACAGGTGATCTGTATTAACTTTAAAGAGGCATCACAGACTTTTCTAATGATACTGCCACCTGTGGCCAAAATGCAGAACTGCAGGGCTTTTCTGCTTGTTCTTGTAGCTCATGCTCATACTTGATAAGTTTTTTATTTATTTACTTTCTTTACCTTAAATGGAGTTGCCATTGGCGTCTAAGGTGACCAAGTATCCACAAAATCCATCTCGCATACAACGCTTCGATTGTTTGCTAGGTCAGACCAATATAACATGGAGGCGCTTCACTTCACAGGAAAAGCGCAAGAACTGCTGACGCAAAGTAAATTAAGGACAGTAATCTAAAAACTTATAGATGCATGGGTGGTGGACTACTGAGGTGTCAGCCTTAAAAGGTCAAATAAAAAAGCTATTTCAAAGAGGTTTTTCCATAAGAAAAACTTCTATCATACTGTTCTTAATCTTGGTTTATTTAAAAATACTATGTTCTGCTATGTCTGGACAGGGTCTGTTGTTTTTGGCATAACAGCCTTTGTTTTGTAGGGTATTTTTCCTATTGGTAATGGACAGATCAGCTGTAACTGAAACTTAATTTGCTCACTTGACTGCATGTTTTAGCTACTTTAAGCTTGCAGCATGCTGAGGTGAGCAGATCTTCACTGATGCAGACAGAGCCTCTGCATATTAAAAGACTGAATACAGTTGTGCTTGAAAGTTTATATGCCCTTCCATTAAAGGCAAAAAGAAATCAGCTAGCAGTAAAATAGATAAAAGTAATAATAGATCAAATGGAAATCATGACATTGATTTATATAAATATTGCACAAATAAAAGAAGTAATGTCTGATGGAGCTCCTGAACTACATTTTTGACAAGGATCTTGATTAACTGTTCATGACCAAGGCACTTTAATTTGTTTTTGTTTTTTTTTGGATTTTCTTTTTTTTTTTTTATAAAAATGTAAAATCAATATTATATTTTAGTAAATTATCATTTAGTAAATGTGTATTTATTACTTTTTAAGGTTTTGAGTTATTTGAATTATTAGTGTGAATGTATCCTTTTCTGTAATGTATCTATCTGTATCTTTATAATGGCATCAGTGCAACATTGCTTGTGTAGAAATTAGATGCTTTGAAGCAATCTGTGTGGTATAAATTAGCTGGTGATTGCATCACGCTGCACAATGCTACATCTGCAGAGAGCAGACCCTAGGGCATCATCTACTTAAACTTGGCCTTTACAGAGATGTTGATGCTTTGTAAATCTGCATTAAATAACTTTTTTTTTTTGGTCAATGGGTTACTACATCCTGCCATGAACTACTGGGCTTTTCTTTGGTTGTAAGATGGAAAATTGCCTCCTTTCTGTCTGGATGGTACAGTAGATGAAAGATCAATTAAAAAGAGATGAGAAGGAAATACAGTATACCAGAAGGAAGGAATAGAAGAGATATGCCTTTTCAGATACATGAGCTGAGTAGTCTGAAATGTCTCTTTTTATTCAGCAGGTAACCAGGAAGCTCCCGATTTCTTTATCCTAACACACACAAACATTAATCTTTCACATTCTCCTCGTCTTCTGTGCTTCAAACATATTTCTCCCATTTCCTGTGATCTATTTTACACCAGATAGTGGTGGAGTGCAGCAGAGCTTTGCTTTTATTTCTAGCTTCAGGGCAAAGTAAAGATGGCAACAAAAGATTGTGTCCTAAAGGGAAAATCTATTCCTCTTTGCTTTTTCAGTAGGTTTCACATGCAATATTTAGCTTCAGTGTTTAAATTGAAGCTAGATAAAACTGATTTGTGTCTATCATATAAATATATTCATAAACAATATATTAAGACCATTAAAATCATTTTGGATCTGGTGTTTGCTGTTTGTATGATTTTTTTTAAATGGTCTAAGATTTCATCTTTGCATTAAACCCGTAAGAATAGGTTTTTAGAAATACAAGCCTATTCTTTGCTGTTAGACAACGTATATAAATGTTGTTAAAATGTGATTGCGTCAATCTAAAATTATTAAAAAAATATGTAAAACAGATCCTGATCAACACATGTTAGTGACCACTTTTATCTGTAGAGTTTCAGTTTCTTTTATGAGGGAATAAATGATTATTTAGGAACCACATCACTTTGATCTATGTTGCAGTGAGGTTATTTTAGCAATAAAAACACTGTTAGTTAAAACTGTCCTGTTGGTGCATTAGCAGCTGGGGAACGATAGGAAACAACAACGGAGTTTTTGTTCAAAAACCAGATTAATTAGGTTCCAGAGGAAAACTTTCTGCAATTTCTCAGCTTGGGATGAATAAAGTCTGTCTGTCTGTCTGTCTGTCTGTCTGTCTGTCTGTCTGTCTGTCTGTCTGTCTGTCTGTCTGTCTGTCTGTCTGTCTATCTATCTATCTATCTATCTATCTGTCTATCTATCTATCTGTCTATCTGTCTGTCTGTCTGTCTGTCTGTCCGTCCGTCCATCAACTCTGACCAGCTTTCCCTGCTGCAATCATCATGTTAACAGTGTGTTAGCAAGATGATGCAGCATAGTAGCTTTATTCTACTATTATTGTTATGAATTTATGCAGTGAAGGGTTTTGCCTACTTTGGAGCTGCATTGCATATGGCAGAATGCAAACTTTGATGACTTCTCTATTTGCTTGCTCTGTCAGTTTAGGTGGACATCCTTTTAGAATAGGGCTCAGTGAAATTTCCAAATCTATATTTATTGTTTTATAACCAAACCCTGCTTTAAACTTCTCAATATCTTTATCCCATATTGGTCAGGTGTGGGTTTGCTCATTCAAATTCACCCGTCTAATTCTGCCTGTTGCTCATTACTGCACATCCGATCACCTGCTCCTGCCTCTATTTAAGTTACTTGTGTCGTTCTCGCTGGCCAGTGTTTTTAGTGTACCATAGGTTTCCTGATGTCATGATCCTGACCTGTTCTGCCTCTCGACCACTGAGCCTGTCTGTTCCCATCTGAACGGGTTTACCTGAACTGTCTTTGGACTCCTGAACCTCTGAACCAGCCTGTTCCTGTTCTGACTTGGGTTTAGACCCCTGGACCTCTGAGCCTTCCTGTTCTGATCTGTTTCCCTGACCTGGTTTCAGACTCCTGCTTGTTCTCCGGGGATGCAGCATGTGGGAGACTCTGGGCCCACATGCTGCATCCAGATGCGCCCGCCGCATCTCTGTTGGAAACCTACCAGCTGGATCCAACCTAGTTCTGTAGCGATGGACTGTACTGTTAAACCAGGTTAGTGACTCACATGGATAATCATCCATCAGATTATTATTGGTCACTAACCTGTGTTTCTCTCTAACAGAGCTACAGTGATAGACGCCCTGACCGCTGATACCTCAATTTAAATAAACACTCTGAATTATCCCACCGTTTGTCTCACCTTGAATTCTGGGTATTTCTGTCCTGTGTCATGAAAGTTTTTTTATTAATGATCTCTTACTTCACTGGTTCAATACCTACATTAAACTACACATACACTGTTTACTAGATGTTCCCAACTAGTTTCCAAGTTGTGACATAAAAGTTGTTAAACATAAAACTCCTTAATTGAAAAAAAATTAAATCATGCATCATTTTGGTTTGTCTTATAAAAAAAAAAACAAAGAAACACAGAGGTTGCTGGTTGTGACATCACAGAAGCAGCTGGAATGTTTTTTTAGTTTTTTTACTTGTTGTGACAAATGAAAGCAGGGTATGTTGTGTATCAGAACTGTTCCCCAGGAGAACGTGGTTCATCCCTTTTGGGTCCACTCGGTTATACAGGGCTGTAATGATCAGCATTGTCCAGGATCAGTGGTGCCTGAACCCCTCTGAACCATCCCAGCTCTGCAGCAATAAGGGGAATGCTTAATTTACAACTGTATGCTTTGGATTATCAGACCACTGGGCCCGGTGATAAAGAGCAGCCCACAATGGGAGGGCAATTGAGCAGCTTAACTAATACCTGTTTTGTTATTTTTCTATTGGCCTTGTGCATCATAGACTAGGCAGTGGAATGTAAGAAAATCAACCAAATATTTGCTGAAAGCCAGAGAATAGTTAAAAGTTTGATTGATTTTCCTTTTTCCAATTAGAAACCTTAGTAGAGAAAATGAGCCTAGATGACACCAAGCTTAGTGCAGACGTAGTAGCAGCAGTCTCTTCTGTGCAATCAATAGGCCTGCGATGCCCTCTACCCCCACTCTAGAGTTCAGGAGCAGAGAGGATAGGAAGCCAGATGGGGGAAGGAGTAAGAAATACATATGGAGGAGGGGTGAGAACAACGAGGAAGGAAAGCTGAACGAAGACCTGCAGATTGAGCTGTTTTACCCTCCATGAGGACTAAACCATGTTTTATGTGAATCTATCACTAACACTGGCTTCTACTTAACTTCATCCCTTTTGCTAATTAAGGGTTACACTAGCAAGTATATAACCTAAACTTCACTGGGCATTTACATCATTTTTGTGACCTCATGGTTGAGCTTCCTGCTGACACATTGCACAAACCTGTCAGACATTAATGAGTAAAAGGCATTCCTTACCTGTGGGTTTCATGTAATAAGCCTCTATGTCAGCCATGTCCGTGTGCAGAGCACATTCCAAATAATTCTGGATAACTTTCCTGCTGTAGTAGTAGCGCGCACCCATGAGAATGAGCGGTGCACAGCAGGTCAGCGTGACAGACTTGGTCACGTAAAAGCACATTACTATGGAGAAATGGAAGAAAAGTAAACGAAACCTGTCAGAAGAGAGAACCACAAGTTTGATTTTTGGCAGAGTTTGAATCCAACAACAGACAGAGAAGAGCAAGGTGTTCAGAAAGCAGGACAACAGTTTGACATGACAAAACAGAAACAGTGGAAGGTGAGCAGGGTTAGACATCCGGCAGACTGACGTAGCCAAGGTTCCTACTTTCTGGGAAGGCGAGGAGCTTAAATTACTTGGTTTCCAGGTTGTATCCTATAGTTATCCTGCTCTGGATGCCAACAGGATATGTAGGAAATGCTTGATTATCCAGGTTTTGCTACCTTTACTCGTTTCCTGTTTTGTATCCATCCATTGCTTTGTACATCCATCCATCCATCCATCTGTTTGTTTCCATCATCCAACCATCCATCAGTACGTTACTCATCCATTCATTTAAGTGTCAGTCATCCATACATATTTTAAGCAATTTTTGTTTCCATCAAACATCAATCCATAATTTTTCTTGAACGTTTAATTTTCATTTAAACTATGACTTCTGTAGAAACATCTCTAGTAATTTCATGGGGAATTTGTGTCTTCATATTTTAAATAAACCGCGCAGTCTGGAAAAGTCAGGACATTAAGTCAGGATTGAAGGATGTGTAGGAACCCTGAGAAGAGTTTATATTCATTTATGTCTTTAGGGAATTGCAGAAGTGCGTAGTTACTGGTTATGTTTACTTAGTTACATTTACTGTAGTATTTTTTTATTACTTTTAGAAATAGTTTTATTGTGCTGTGCTCGTTTCATTTACCGGTTCTTAAATAATATTCCTGTTTTAATTTGACTTTAACTTTTCTTATCCAGGATTTTTGTCCCATTTTGTAATCATGAAATGTATTAGTATTTTAATCTTTGACACACCAGAATTTGCACACACAATCTGTCTGACTGCATCATTTCTAAGGATTAAATACGAAATGATGGTCCAAGAAGTACTCTGTATTTGAGCAGCCATTTTACCAAATTCTTTTTTTCTACCAAATACTTTATTACTTTTACTTGAGTGACCTCTTGGATAACTACTTTTTATTTGTACGTAAAAAATGTTGAAGAAGGGCTACTTTTACTTGACTACAATATTTGGGTACTCTACTAAGCTCTAGGGAATTATAAATCAAGGCTTAATTGGATTAAATCTGATTTTATGGGATTGACTATAAGTTAGTTAGAACGCTAGGAGGCGCAATGAGTTTGGACATAGCTGCGCATCGCATGTTGAATATTTACGCAACAAGGTTAAAAAAAATTAAGTACAGATTATAGTAATATTTGAATCACTTTACTGTGATGTTTTAGCAAAATAACGGGGATATACTCTTACATCATCTAGTCATGATGAGCAAGGGTGAAGCTAGATGGGGGGCCAGGGGTGGCCATGGCCACCCTTAGCCAATCGTGCACCACCCCTACCATTTTCTTCCCTCTGATACAGATGGTGGCAGCACTAATACTCTAAAGTGGACTGTTCAAAACATTGAAATTTTTCATATATTAACAATTACATGACAAAAAACACGCTGTGGTTTATTATGCACATCAATATACTAACATTAAAGATGAGAAGTACAAAATTCAGGCTCTTTTAAGAACTAGATTTCGTGGTGTTTTAAAAACTCCTAGATGAGTTGCATGTT